ATTTCTGCTCCTAAGATTAAGCTATTCCAAACTAAAATTAGATTCTTAGGTTATGATATACATCAAAGTATTATTATTCCTATCAGTCGATCTATTGAGTTTGCTTCTAAGTTCCCTGATGAAATCTTAGACAAACCCCAGTTACAATGGTTTTTAGGTTCTTTAAATTACATTGCTGAATTTTACAAAGACCTTAGGAAAACTTGTCAACCCCTTTTTGATAGGTTGAAAGATAATCCTCCTCATTGGTCTTCTACTCATACTATTATTGTTCAACAAATCAAAAAATATGTCATGACCTTGCCTTGTCTTGGCATTCCTACTGAAAATTCATTCAAAATTATTCAAACTGATACTTCTGATGTTGGTTATGGTGGCGTTCTCTTTCAGAAAATCAATCCCCAGTCAACTTAACAAATTGTTAGTTTTCATTCTGATGTTTGGAACAAAGCATAGAAAAATTATAGTACTATTAAAAAATAAATTTTATCTATTGTTTTATGTATTAGTAAATTTCAAGATGACATCTTAAATCAAAAATTCCTATTACGTGTTGATTTGCAAAAGTGCTAAATATGTTTTGGAAAAAGATGTTCAAAATATTACTAGTAAACATAATTTTACTCGATGACAATCCATTTTAAGTATTTTTTATTTTGATATTGAATATATTCCTGGTAGTCAAAATTCTATCCCTGATTTCCTTACCCGAGAATTTTTATAGGGAGGATAGTGCATCATGCCTACTCCTTATTGCTCTACAAACAGGTTACAAGCCGCCCAATACTGCAAAATTATTCGCTATTACAAGTTTAAAGTATCCTACAAAATGACCCTACAAAACGACCCTTACCTTCATCAAGACCCTTACCTTCGATTCAATCAGATTAGAAGTTATCGCAATTTCGTTGCTCATTACACTAATCTAGTTAACTTTCATATGGATAGATTAGATGTCCTCAGTGGATGCTACTTCTGTCATTTTTATTACAAATGTCAAGCCACAAACCTACTACAAAACCTCATGCCATTATGCCAACCAATCAACCCATTGCTGCACCTCCAATTGATATAGTCTACCGATACCAAATTCATGGTAATATTCCTTAACCTAGTTACACTTCGCTCTGGCTTCAAACCCTTTTGCTTGCCAATCAATTACGCCAATGCCTCCTAACAAGTCTATCCCAAGAACAGATTATGTTCTTAAACAGTCATTCAACCTTCTTTTACAAAGAACCAATCCATAAAAATATCCACAATGTTCTTGAATTAGTCAAATCCTATTTCCCTAATGGATGACATTTTATTCCTTCCCATTCTGATAAGTCAATAGCCTTTTGTAAGGATATTCTTTTCCACCATAAGTCAATAGTCATTAAACCTATTTATGATCGAGTCCAAACTAGTAAAATCATTTATCATTCCTTGTACATTCACAATATTGTTTCCATGGGAGAATGGGGTCTCCCTTTCTGCTCTGAGACCTTCCCAACCATGATATATAATATAGTTACTATGATTACATTGATGCTTTGTTCAAAATCCTCCTATATCAAAATGAGTCATATAGTCATTCTTGGTTTTTCTCATTTGACCACAAATTCAAATCAGAATTCCCTTCTTGGTTCCTGAGATGGTGGTCACAGCATGGTGCCATCCCAAAAATCATTCCTTCTGAGTTAATAGAACAAGTCAATTATTTCTCTTCAATTTACAAGCTCAGCTAGCATAAAAGTCAGTTTCCTTGGTTACTCCATTTTATGTCCAAATATAAAGTCCCTTAGATTTTTAAATGGCAATACAGTCTATCCAATAACATAGTCAGTTATCAACATTTTGTTAAATGGTGGGATGCATTCAAAGCCTATCATATTATTGAACAAATCCAGCAAGAATTTCCAATTAACATTCATGCCCCAACTCCTGCAATGGTCAAGTCTTAGCAAAACCCAAATGCTTCAGTCACACAAGGAAGCCTACTTCCTCTCACTACAGTCAGACTTGGAAACCCATCAACCAGCACTGAACCTTCCAAATCCAAGTCTTCTAAGGCCAAGCCCAAAGCAAAGCCCAAGTCAACCTCTAGCGATGAATTAATCCAAATGGCCAAATTATTGATGGCCCAAGCAAAGTCACAAATTGAAGATAAAGCCTTGGATGATTCAACCTCCTTTGAAGCCTCAACCAGTCATGATCCATATGGTCCACAATTCCAAGATGCTTAGGACTCATATGCCTAAAAAAGTCATTGGATTCCATATATATATATCAGCTTTAGTCATTACTCTTACTTTGAGAAAAGCTGCTGATATATATATATATATATATCTTGATTCTCCTGTGCAGTCACGTTTCCTCACTGCAAGTAAAAAAAAAAAAAAATCTAGATCATGGAAAGATGCCCTCAACACCCATGTGCCTCTTATTTTCCAGCTTTTGAAGTCACAAGTTTTATAGTATTTTCCAGCTTTTGAAGTCACTAGCCTCACAGCTCCAGTCACCGGCCTCACAGTTCCAAGTTCACAGGCCTAATAGTTATCCACTTTGCTTATAAAAGAAGTTCCTCAGTCAAGGCAAACTCAGAGTTGGAAAGAGTTGAAATTTTCTTTCGCAGTTTCTCTCAGTTTCTGTAAAAATTTCTAGTTTGTTGTCTTAAAATTTAGTTTTTAAAGATGCATGTTGAAGCTGTATTTTCCAGTTACTTCCAGTAAACAATTCTGTATTTTCTAGTTATTTCCAGTAAATGATTGTAAGTTTATTTTGTATTACTATTTCTGCTTATCTATTTTATTTATGTATTTTAACTTGTTTATTTAATTTAGTTATTTTAACTTGCTTTATTTTATTTAATTTAGTTATTTTAACTTTATTTATGTGCTGCTTCCGCCTCTTTAGAAATATATATATATATATATAAAGACTAAAACCGGCCAGTTCAATCAGTCCAATCGATTTTCTGATTTTTTCTTTCACCCCTACCACTGCCTGGTCTTCACTCTCCACCCGACACCCACTCTTTCTCCTCCACCCATCAACGGCACCCACTCTTCTTTCTCATTCTTTCTACCCTCTACAACCCCTCAACAAATGTAAGACAAATGATGGAGCTCACAAATGATGAGCCCCACATAGAGGACCCTAAGTTTGTTTTACATTTGTATCTCAATTTATAAAAAATAGTGTGCTCATAGCATAGTTGATATGATAATTATAAATAGATTGTATATAAGATTTTGGTGTTTAAAGATTGTATGGGTGTGAATTTGTATGATTTTGATATAATTTGTGCATTTAAAAACAAATTGTTGGTTGTTGTTCACTGAATTCGAACAACCAATTCCAAACAAAAATAGTTTCAACAACTTTAGTCTATTCATCAAACAATCACCAAAAATCTTTGATTGTTTGATTGTTATCTATCGGATATAGGATGGATTTAGAATTATCACTACGGGAGTACGAAAGTATATTTGAGTTGCAAATCTTTATAGTATAATATATATGTGGAGAAGTGATTTGGAAATACTCTTTGGATCCAATGGGACGCTTAAGATCCTCAGCTAGTCACCTGAGAAATAATGAACACTCCGGTCGGGAGTGCCAGAATTAGCACTCCGACAGACAAGTCAATGCATACTCTCTTGGTTGCTTATATCTCAAGTTTATACTTTTTCTCACATACCTTTCTCTGGTTGATGCTCCTCTATTTATATTCTTTCCCTTGGGCCTTAGGGTCGGGCCCACCCTTGATCTATTGCGCGTCTATTTATTCGGCTCTTGTTCTGCTGGTTGGGATGTCGATTATCCTATTCAGCTCTGAGGTCGACTAGGATCAATGCCGAATACAAATGCCGTCATTGACTGATCTCATACCTGTATCCGGCCTTATTGCCCCCGGAATATTGGGCTCCCACAATATAATATTTTTCAAATTTTTGAAGGTACGATCGCTCCCACCCTCAACATTCTAGATCCATCGACAAATCTAGTTTGTTCCACTCTAACTGGCTGAACAAAGCTAAAAAAATAATAATAAATAAATAAAACAAAAACAAAAACAAAACAAACATTTAAAAAATAAAAAAAATAAAAAGATAAAGGAGGAGCGGCTACCATCAGAAAGTTAGATCGATCATGACCTGCCATATTTCTTCCCTTTGTCACCCTCCTACTGCCAGCATCCATTGTGGATGATATGAAATAGAGGGCGATGAAAAAAAGGAAAGTGAATGTTGATGGAATAGAGAAGGTTCAGAATGATGATACGTTTGAAATTACGAAGAATACATACATACGAAATAAAAAAATTTAAACCTTTTAAACTAACTATAATGTGGTGTAAATTAAAATTCCTGAATCCTGATCACAATTTATTTCTTGAAAAAAAAAGAAAAAATTTGCTTCACGAACAATGAAGCAAAATCAAAATCTAATCAATCAATTTTCAGATGACCCCAGAAAAGAAGAAAAAAAGAGAGCAAACAATTATTATATGTTCTGTGCATTCTTTGGGACGTCTCCATAATAATGAGGATTTCATTATTAAAATATATATATATGTTAGGGTTGTCTCCAAAAAAGAACAAACAGTGCATGATTTTCATTTGTAATGGCTTAATATGGGTGGGCATGTAATCTTCAGTCAGGTAAGAGAACAAAAAAAACTTTTACTAACCCACCACAAAAAGCAAATCAAACCCCACAAATTGTTTTAACCAACCTTTGAGGATTGAGGTTGGCTTTTTGCTCCATGGGATGGAATCTCCATAAAATCCAACAATACTAAACTCGAAATGTGATGATGCAAGGTCTAGCGAGTAGTAATTAAACACAATAATGAGCTTATGAAACTTTAAAAAGCATAAATCTTTATGTGTCAAAAAATACAGAGATGAGCAATACAATTAGGTCATTTTTTTTTTTTTTTTTGGTTTTTTCCTTCAATCTTTTTTTGGTTTTTTCCTTCAATGCTTAGCCACCTAGATTTAAAATAAAATAAAAAAAAAGGTAAAATAAAATTAAAAGGATGAAGCATCATCATCATCATCATCATCATCATCTGTAGAAGAAGCTTTACAGAAAGACTACATTCTTCTGACAGGAATTTGGATTAAATGTCAGGAAGACGGAACTCCAAATGAACCAAGTTGCAGAATTCAGAGGCCGTAACTGTAACTACTATATCCTCCTCCGTACCCACCACCATAGGGTGGTTGTGCTGATAATGATGATTCCTGGTAGTTAGAACTACCGAACTGAGAATATGAAGACCTCAAACCACTGTCCATCCTGCCATAGCTGCTACTAACTGGTTCTTTGTGGCTGCTAATGAATTCCTGCCCAAAAAAAACAAAAAACAAAACAAAACAGAACAAAACAAAACAAAAAAATGAACCTACCATCAGACTTCTTCCAGATAGATCTTTTAATTCTGAGCAAAACAAAGCTTCTTGAGGAATTGAAAAGTTCCAGAACTTTTTCTGGTGCTAAGGTCGCATGAAAAGAAATCATTTTAAATCAACACATGCACATGTAACATTTCAGAACTCAGATGAAATCCCACCAGCACGTCATTTTAACAGATTTTTTATTTTTATTTTTTGCACTTCATATTAATCTTAACATTCTTGCTATGTTATCATTGCACTCTTTTCTCAAAACAATTTATAGTAATTACAAGTTTAGAGAGAAACAAAATTTCCATTTTAATATTGTTCGATAACTACTTTCTATTCTTGAAAACAGAATAAGTGAAGACCATAGAGATGTTTTTGGCAAAATTATTTCAAGACAATCACTTTAACCAATCCATCTCCAAGAAACAGTTTAAAACTATTTTAAGAGGTTTTAGAAAACTGAATTCATAAAAAATCAAACTTACCACCATTTATATTTCCAAAAACATAAAACATCAAAAACCAAATTTGAAAACAAGAACAGTGCCAAAGATACCATAGGTAAATTTTGCAATTAGACAAGACTTCCACCTGAATAAGTTGCTGAGCTGTCTGAACCTGAGATGATGTCCCTTTAATTTCCACTGTGATCTCATCTGGTAGTCCTCTACTCTCTTGCACAGTCAGGACGGCCCCACTAGAACGCCGTATGTATGCAATATTTGCCCCTCCAATCCCTATGATGTCCTCAGCATAAGAAAGTGGTATTTGCATTGTTTGCGCAATCTGATTAAAGGAAGCAAGATATCAGATACCAGGGCCAAACAACACAACAATTCACAAAGAAATTCCAGCAGGATCTTCTACAGATTTGTGGCCTATTATGGATTTTGAAAGCATACTTGCTCTCTTTCATTATCAGTGAACTAGGCTTTTTCATAGCTCACTACCATCGCTGCTCCTCTAACTTCTCACTGGGTCTCTGGATCTCTATTCAGTCTTTTGACACTTTAACTGAATTTGCCTCAGTTTGGAGAATCCAGAAACACAAAAATCAACATCACAATCCTTCACACTCCCACTCATGTTAGTCTCTAATTTCGCACATAAATTTGAAAAACTACTTCAACACATGCTGCCAAACTCTTTCATGTGTGCCTCGTGCCTTCACACCATGTTCGTTTTGTATGCGGTTCATGTCAACAGCTCCAACCAGCCACTCAGTCGATTGTAACGTCACAAATGCAAGCATCTGACCTTATCTATCATATCTTCTTGTTCACTGCCACGTGTTATTCTAATTCATCGGTTCAGTTCAGACAGTCCATGAAACATGTTTGAACGGTTCATTAATTTTTCCCCATTTAAGTTCATGTAGATCAGTTGTTGCTATTTTTCAACGTTTTGAATATGTTTTTGACAACTGTTTCTTCCAATTCTACCTCTGTAGTACTGTTTTTGGATCATACACTTCTACAAGTATTTAGGAATAGAGTGATTTAATGTCTCAGGCTCTTCGCACCATCCCGGGAGGTCTCAAATAATATCCTACTTCCACACGTCACCATTTCAATGATATTGTGCTTTTATTCCAACAGATTCTCTCCAATTTAAAGTTTTTCAACTTTGCATGCAATAATCACGACTTTTGATCCTACTATTTTCTCTTCAAGACCATCTGTTTGTCACACTCCATCCATTTCTATGACTGATAGTTCTTATATACATGTTAGTCTTATCAGTCAAGTTTCTACTTCTAGTGTCCCTTTCTGATACTTATCTAATTCCTAAACTCACCTTAAATCTAATTCCAGTTAGACTACTAAGCATAGGCTGTAAGATTAGACTACTATGTGAACTAGTGGAACAGGCCAAAAGATTGGACAACTATATGAGATCATTAATCTTCACATTCTTTCTTGACTTCTTCCACACACTTCATCCTGCTATTTTGGCTCTCCCTCAACTCCTTCTCAGTGTTCTACTATCTCAAGTCTATGGTATTCTCGATTTGGTCGTAATACCTATTTTGATATTTTACGCACTTTAGTTTCTTTTGATCATCTAGGATCTGTCAAAGATGAACATGCTGATTGTCTTTATTGTCAACCTACCAAACAAATAGTTTTACCTTTCAACAATAGTGATTTTGTTTCTTCCACCTCATTTGATTAGTTCATTATGATGTTTAGGGGCCTTCTCCTCGCACTCCCATAGGGGGATGACATACTTTGTTGTCTTTATAGATAATTCCTCTTGCTTTACATGGTTATTTCTTACACACAACCGATCAAAGTTTCTACAGATATATTATAATTTTGCAAAAATAGCTCCAACTCATTTTTCTCATACCATCAAAGCCATTGGTGCTGATAATGCCATGGTATTAAAAGAAATGAAATTTTTAACCAAAACAGCAATGTTTGTGTTCTGAAATATCTCAACAAAATGGTTGTGTTAAGCATAAGCATAATCTAGACACTGTTTGTAATCTCCCATCATTGGCAATCAATTTCCTTACGAACGTCTGTATGGTACTCTCCCTAACCATAGTATTCCCAAAGTCTATGGATGCATTTGATTTGTCCTATGAAGCACGGACACGGACACAGACACGGACATGGTGATTTCAAAAAAAAAGGGACACGAACACGACGGGAGACACGGAAATTTTTTTTTTTACATATATATTTGCTACGTAAATTAATATTATATTACCAGACAATCAAAATTAATAAAAATTAACATTAATTCAATATATATATAAACATCACATTTATATTTATAGAGGTAAAAAGAATAAATAGAGAAATTAAAAAAATATAAATTAGAATAATTATAAATACAAAAAAAATATAAAGAAAAAAATTATAATCCCAACACCACAGGAAAAGCGACCATTGCATCAGCGCACTATCATCATTATAAGCACACTATACAAAACAAAACCATTATTTAATAGTGACTTCTTGACTTCTGCCCCATCTTTATTTAATATTTATTATAATAAGAAGATATAAAAAAAAATTAAAAAAAAAAAAGAGAGGAGAAATAACAGATTCCGAGAAGAGAGACAGACGCTAGAGAGAAGAGACAACGGCGCGAGAGAGAAGAAGACAGATAGACGTGAGAGAAGCGAGAAAGAAGAGAGAAGCCAGAGAGAGGAGAGAGAAAGAGACGAGGTCGTCCACACATGAAGGTCGACTGGAACAAGCTGCTGCTTCTTCTGGAGACTTCAAATATGCGGTACACCCTTCTCTTCTCTTCTCTTCTCTTTTCTTCTCTTTTTGTTCTGATTTTGAGATTTAGGGCTTCTCTTCTCTTTTTGTTCTGATTTTAAGATTTAGGGCCAAAGCTCTGCGTGATTCTTGACATGGCACGTCTCTTGCAAAAAAATAATAAAATTAAAGGGACACGCCAAATGGCGTGCCCCGTACGTGTCGCCGGCATGTCCGCGTGTCCGACACCGCTACGACACTTATTCTGCCATGTCCGTGCTTCATAGGTTTTGTCTTACTTCAGCCTCTTAAGTATACAAAGTTCAAAACCCAAGCACATCTTTGTTGTTTCTTGGTGAATAGAATCAAACACAAAGACTACAGATGTTGGGATCCCTATTCCAAGAATTTTTGTATTTCCCATCATGTCATTTTATAAGGGCACAAGATGTTCTCTATGTCCAAGTTCCACTTGCCATCTATGCCCACTTCATCCTTCTTTACGAATCCTTCTATTAAACTATTTCTTGATCATCTTGATACAAGTTCTTCTTCCAAGCCCACAAGCACAATCACTCCAGAGGTGCCTGCTCCATCTGGTGGTTCTTCTCCTGAGTCTCCTGCATCATCCTTTCACATTGATCCACCTCTTCGCTGTTCTACTTGGATAAGAGAACTACCTGTCCACCTCTTCGTTGTTAAAGTATACAGAGTACACAAGCACATTTGGCTTCATTGGTTATTCAAGGCTATAGGGTTTACACATTCTATAGCCTCAGTTCTCTGCCGTGACAATCAAAGTATTAACCATATTGCACATAATAATATTTTTTATGACCACAACAAACACAGAGGAATCAATTATAATTTTGTACATAGTTCGTGGCACTGTTCAACTTCACTCTGTCCCGTCATCTAATTAGGCACACGCACATGGCATCTTCACCAAGGCTCACCCACCAAAGATGCTTTCACGAATTAATTTTCAAACAGAATTTAGAATCTGCTCTATTAGTACAGTGAAAAGGGATATTAGTATATATCATTGTTTTTCTATATTTACTCTATCTCCAGATTTTCAGCTTCTTGCACAACACTACTTAAACATATTTATAGGTACAACAAGTGTTTATTGCTTCATTTCTAATACTAAACAGATTTAAATGTGAAGTTCTAAGTTATTTGATAACACAAATAAATCTCAATCTCAACCAAAATTTCAAACATATACGATGCCTAGTTAGAATAAAAATTACGTAACTCAAAAGTCTTACGTGAGGTGCGAAGTAGAGGTTCTGGTCCAAGGGCTTAACAAAACATAAATTTGATGTATCCTCAAATCTAAAAAATTCCTTTGAAAAATAAGAAAAATAAGAATCATTTCACAAAAGTGTGAAGAACAAATAGAAGATAACCATCTTATGATTGTTAAAATTGGGATCCTACGTAAGATTGGTGAGAAAATCTCGTGGATTGAATCGAGTATCATAAGATTCTACTTTCTATTAAAAATAACGCAAAAAAAACAAATAAAGATGTTGTATATTAAAAGTAGGGTAAATTACAAATACACTCCCTGAGATTTGCTTAAAATACGAATTGCCCCTTTTTGGTTCCAAAAATTACATCGCCCTTGAAGTTTCTAAATTCATAACAAATGGCCCTTTTTATTCATAAATCATCAAGTTAATTAATAGTAGTCAATGATGTTAGAAATATATTTCAATTAATTTTATTATTGTATAGAAGAGCAGTTAATAATTTATCTTCTTTTTTTTTTTGTTAATTCTGTTAAATAAAAAATTCTAACAATAAGGTATTTGTAATTTTTCAAATCACAGGAGGCAATCTGTATTTTAAGCAAACCTAAGGAGGTGTATTTGTAATTTATCCAATAAAAATTTATGCCAAGTGGATATTTGTAATTTTTTAAACTACAAGAGGTAATCGGTATTTTAAACATACCTCAGGGGATGTATTTGTAGTTTACCCTTAAAAGTAATGTAGAAATACAAATAAGGATGTATATTAAACATAAGGTAAAAAATTACAAACCCAGCAATCCTACTTACAACCTTGTACCATCCCACACAAGTCTACATGTGATCCTCTATAACACCAATTCTACAGAGATTTTGACCGTTTGGGCAATTTAGGATCAAAGGATTGTACATTCATACCATCTAGATTGCGATTTTGATAACCATGAAACATCTTTAATCTAAATAAACCTAGAGAGCACTCTAGGGTCTTGGAGCCCAAGAAAACTTGAATACACAAGGTAAAGAGAGGAGAAAGGTGTCAATTTTAATAAAGTGAATAATAATACCAAAAATTCATCACCCCTTAGATAGGCTGTTTATAAATTATAAGAGCCCAATAAATATTAGAAAATAACGTTCTAAAAACACTCCTAACCAATATAGTAACCTACTAGGACTTAAATTTTATTATTGGAAACCTAAAAAATTACCAAGTGTCAAAAATAAAATTCCTAACTCTTAAAAAAATTACAAAATAAAATAAAAATATAGAAAATAATATTTTTTATTCATACAATTTATCCTACATCATGGAGAAGAAGAAAAAACAAGAGTGGATATCACTTCTTCCAAGCCTCTCCTTCACAAGAATGCGGGAGGGAGAGAGAGAGAGAGAGAGAGAGTTTGTGTGTAACTAACGCCTTCAACACAAGTTGTAACGATATTTTCCGATTTGGGCTAGGCCTTAACAACTTTAAAATGATGTGAATTCAGTTTTATAGCTCAAGAACTTTTCCCATCCAACCAATGTGGAACAAGATGTTACATTATCCTCACCCCTCACTAGACCACACATCCTCGTGTGATGCGCGATGCTGCACTTAGTTATGCACATCACTTTATTCTCATTGATGAGACTCAAGAGGTGGCTTGTAGAGTCCCGTACAAACCCCAAAGGCGACTCCCACCCCGCGTAACTCACACATACCGCAAGGCAACTCCTGTTTTGATACCAATCATAACACCCCCATCCCAAGCAATGACGCCATTGTCCACCTTGACTTAGTCCTCACAGCTTTAAAATACAAAATTACTTCGAAGAAGGTGAATTCCATATATAACCTAGGGACTCTTCCTACATTGCCGAAGTTGGACAAAATGTTATAGAGAGCAAAAACACAATATATTTGAGAGTCAGTTAATAAGACTAATCATTTAGAAATAGTAATTAGCATATCATCCTCTGGCAACTTGAGACAACTATATCATAAGCCGTTATCTCAGCTGAATCAACTACCCATCTGAAACTGAAAAGTTATACTCAAGCTCACAACAACATGGCCTTCTTAGAACAAAACATTATTAGCAATTTAAAAAAAAAAAAGAAGGGATGATGATATTGTCAAAAGAAAAGTCATAAAGCAACCTCTCTATCAAAAGCAAGAATCTGATATCAGTTAACTACTGTCAAAATGATATATGGCTACTCTTTGGCTAGCCACATTAGACTTCCTAATCTTGAGATAAATCAAAATACAAAAGACAAGAATATGCACCACACCACAGCCAAGGCTATCTGATGTGAAATGTGCCTATGCAAAATAAACAGTAGTAGATAAATGAACTACTGAAACCAACCTGGGTAACAATAGGACCACTAGCACGACCACGTCCTGCAGAACGTATTCCTGAAAGTCCAGGATCTTGGCCATACAGTGAAATTCCAGAGGGAGGGATATGCGTTTCCAGCTGGGTTTCACGGTCAAAAAATAGAGACTCCCTCTTTGCTGAAAGAGGATAATCCGTGCCAAATGCAATTTCTGAAGCACCATGCGGCAATGACTTGTCAGCCCAGGTGTCTACTTGGCGTTCTTGTGAGACAGTTGAATTGTACTGTAAAAGAATAAACAAAGTAAGTTCACAGTACCACAATCTATTACTTGGTAAACCTTCACAGAAACCAAACTTACACTCTTTTCAAATAGGGGAAGAACACTACGGTCCACCAAGAACTTTCGTAGGTGCCCCACCACAGATTCCAGAGCTTTAAGAACCTTGGGAGCTTCTCCCTGCAACTCCACAATCCTCTCATCTGAGTTGGCATAAAATGGCACCTCATCTGCCAGAAGAAAAAAACAAAGAGTTAGACATAAAACAAAAGGGACACAAGAGAGAGAGTACGGCTGGAACTAAAGCTTCCAACACTATCAAACATTGCCGACGGATAACACCCAAGGCGACTAGCTTGTTAATATCTCGGCCAGACTCCTGACATATTTAAAGTCGCACCCTTGTGGTTGGTTACTAATTACTCTGTTGAGTAACTTCTTCACATTTAATTATCATTTTAGTATTCTCATCTTTTTATATTCTTTCTAATTTTTTGGTGTAGGAGCCTAGAATAAACAAAAATGTTTATAGCTTAGTTGCACAAATCTCCTAATGAGGGTGATGTTTGGGCTCTAGAGTCGCGATTCTGCTGTTCAAAAGTAAAAATCTTGTTAGAACCACATTCCTGTCGAGATTAAAATCATCCCAACAAGGATGGAACCACTCAAACATATGAATCCAAAAAAATAAAAGAAAACTACAAGGGCAAAGTAAAATCTATAGAGAACAATATTTATCCTAGATTTTAGTTTTCCTTTTAGAAATTAAGGATAGAGAATTTTTTAAAAATAGATCTTTCAATTTGGATTGTGAGAATTGAAGGAGTAAAGATGTGTGGTAATCCAATGTCGATATTTAACATAGATATTACAACCAAGCAACAAAATCATTTCTTACAATATGTTTAAATATATATAATTAATTAACACCCGCCTAGGCTCCCAACCTGACTCTTGTATGTGCCCTAGCCCTACTCTGATGTAGTAGAATAAATTCCTTGAGTGTATGTTAGGTGGCCTATTAGTTGTAGCTTATTAAATAGGTGATGTAATACCATTGTACTTAGTTTTTTGGATTAAAGAATATACATTGTAATTGGAGTAGAGCTTGATTTCTCTCTCTAGCCCTTAGGGGTTTTATCCCTAGTTAGGACATTTGTCTTCTCTCTCTCAATTTGATCCTTGATTCCCATTTGTATTGGATTACCTTGAGTATATGTTAGGTGCACAGCTCTACATTTTCCAATTAGGTCTATTGCTAACATTTCAAAATATATCAAACTTCACAAGGACATGAACCAATTAACAGCATGGCATCTTTAAAGGATTGATTAGCTAGTATTTTCATGAAAGGCAAATAATATGATGGAAATAAAGTTAGACACTGAATATTCATAAATTTGATCTATCATATGTGCAGTAAGGCCAATTGTCAACATAACCTGATGAAATCATGGTTGATTATGCACCAGTTCCCAACAATTTCACAGCTTTTTAAAAAACAATTAAAGCAATTTCAGAGCTTTTTAAAAAAACTAAAACATACCATTTGCGAGAACCCGCACTGAAGCACCAGTGCTTTCTTGTATTGACTTGATTGAAGAGCCTTGCTTTCCAATTAGATTAATGGCCTGCATGGACGCCACCAATAACCGAATTGAAGAAAATGCAACTCCAACTGCTTTACCATCACCCTCGCTCTCAGGTAATGCACTGACACGTTTGAATACTCTTATTACAGCATCCATTGCAGGGGACAATGGTGCCTCAAGTTCTTCTTTTCCAGAAATTAACACCTACATTAAAAAAAAGGGAAAAAAAATACTGCTCAAAATTAACATGCAATGCGTGAATAGGGGCTTGAACCTTGCGTGCTATGCAGAGTCTATTCATATGAGTGGAAACAAAAAGGTACATGCAGAGATAACCAATTTCATGCTGGGAGGAAAACAAAACAAAAGAGACAAAGAAAAAGAAAAAGAAGAAGCAACTAACTTAAAACTGTATTACAAACTTCAGTACCCTTCTATTATCCAGATTGCAGCCATTGAATTGAAAGTTGCAACCATTAAATTCAACACATAATTAGTGGGGGCGGAGATAATGCCCCAAAAAAGAGCAATGACGTGTGGGCAGTCAAGGAATGGATGTTGCGCCGCTGATTTGCAAATAGCCATGACCCTTAATAATGGTGGCTTAGCAGTGCACTGACTATAGTTATCGTATGAGAAGTGAGGAAGTGACAACTGTGGTTGTTCTTTATGGTGGTTGTATGGTAGGCTTACCAAAGTTGAGGCTAGTGACCAGTGATATGATCCTAAGCTGGCAGGGCTTCTTGCAGTGACGCCATCTTGGTAAATGAAAGCGGGCCAGGGGTTGTAGCAACTGAGGTGCTGATATTGGGTTGCGGGATCAATGTATTGAATGACATAACAAAAATCTTGACAAAATCAAGTATGAGAATTTTTGTTTTTTTAAATTTTTTTTTTTATGTTTCATGTCAATTAGGTTCAGTTAAAATTGGTGGTTCACAGGCAAAAGTGAAGTCAACGCATCACACTCATTCCAAGGGGAGCACAAATCTCGGGTATAAGGTAATTAAGTCTCAGAAGTTTTCCAACTTTTCGCATGTCTAAAACAAAACATTAGAAGCATACTATACAAGCTTACAAAAAAATAAAAATAGTCAGTATTTGAATACTGGTTAATTGGGACCAGGAATACACAAAATAGTAACATAAAAACGCATGGTTCAACTAAAAAAATGGTTCAATATAAAAGCTACTAAATAAAAAAACTAAGTTAAGATATTATTACACAACCAAACATCAATCAACAAAATGACAATGGTTACCAAACAATAGTGGTGTGAGCTTGCAATTGTAGAAGAGTGGAGAAAATGAAAAACAGCAACCACCGTGGCAGTGAAAATGTCAAAGGGGATGGAACCAGTTAAATAATGGAAAAGGAGTTGAAATAGAGGTTATAGCTGTCACCAATGGTCATAGCAAAAGCAATTCCATTTGTATTAACAGAACTGTCTTTTAACAAAAACTAAAAAATAAAAGAAGAGGCAGCTTAGCCCAAATAAATGCAGGTCTAACAAGCAAAGAGAACATGAAAGCCATAGTCAATTGTAAGGCTGAGAACTTCAAGTGTTACAAATGCAATTACAATGTCCGTATAGTGCTGATGATGATGGTCCCATGATGGTGAGATTGTGAAGTAATATTAGGCTGGTGAATGTGGTAATGGTGAGGCACTGATGCTTGCAGTATTAATCGTACTTCTCATGAAAATTGAAGAGAGTGAATAATCAACAATCAATTCATTTATTTTAAAGTTAATTAGGTTTCACCAGGAAAAATACAAAAACAAAAACAAATATTAGGAGTGGCAATGTATAGGCAAAGCCATTAACCTGCCTAAACACACCCAATATAAATGAGCAAAAATCCAACCCATTTAAAAAATTGAATTAAAATGAGTAATGACACATTTATACCTATTTAAAATAAACCCTAAATGGGTAAGTATTAAGTTACCTAATAAACTAAAAAGCATGAACACGAACATGTGACAAGACATGAACATGCTAACACATAAATTTGCAAAAAAATTAAGATACGACATGTGAGGGACACGTAAAAAATATATAATTTCATATATTTATTGCATATCTTATATAAGAATAAGCAATTATTATATGTCATAGATGACTATTTAATTCAAAAATAATACTTTTTAAACTCTAAAGAATGAGAATATGTATAAATTTAAGTAATTTTCTTTTATAATTAGATTCTAAATTATTTTATTCAAACTAGTAACGTGTTTCATGTTTGTCTAAGTGATAGAAACATGTATTCCCAATTGTCTGAAGCATATCCGAATGTAAAAAAATTGGAGGACATGTTTGTATGTGTCCAAAATGTCTTCAGAAGTGTCTGACAAGTGTCATGTCGATGTCGAACAAGGAGTCAGACATGAAACGCCACCTTCTTAGAAGTGTTGGTATTTCCTAGCCAATAAGTATCCATTAGACAACCTAACCAACTTTTATTTTTGTTCAGCCAGCCCAACTGCACACAACCAGTGCCATCACAGCCGCCACCATCACCGTCACCGTCACCGTCACCACCACCATACACTGTGAGGATCCAAATCCAAAACTTTACACCTTTTGTTGGGAGTTTGGCTTTCAAAAACCAGTCATACCCCTAGTGTTCAACCCAAGATCTTCTAAGATACTCAAAACTTCGAAATACTAATCATGTATCGGTAATATTTAATGACCTTATTTATCAAAGAAAAAAAAATATTTATTGACCTTGATGATACCAAAATGGTACAAAATTCTAGTAGGTCACCATCCAAACATAGCCACTTTGATAATCTCTATATTGGTGGTGCCTGCCAATTTGGTAAGCATTGCTGGCAGGGGCAGTGATTGTAGCATAGGTATGGTCAATCAATTTTGGATTTTACAAAACTAATTAAGTTATATGGTTCTAGATGTTTAGAAAAGAAAACATGATCCATTTATGCTATCTTTGGATCTTGATTTGTGGGTAAAAAAAAAGAAGAAATAAAGAAAATAGAAAGAAAAAAATGTAAGTTGAAGGTTTTTTTTTTGGAGAGGGCAATGAAAATAAAATAAATACATATCGCCAAAAAAAAAAATATTGTATTTACTCATAAAAAAGAAGTATTTAAGCAATTTTATTTCCCTTTCATTTTGATTTGTCTACCGATGATGAAAATGATGTCCCCTCCTGCTTTTCTTTAAAATATCCAATATCCAAACATAGCCTTCATATTTTTAGGTTTGGAAAACACGTAAAACCAGGTGAATTTGAAGTGAAATCTAAAAAAGGAAACCAAAAAGAAAAAGAAAAAAAGTCATTATGCATGGCGATGGTAGTGGTGGTGTTGGGATGGTTTTAATTTTAGATGTGAATATATAACTGGGTTAATCAACGTGTTGAGCTTGACTTTAAATAAATGGGTTGGGTTGTGTTGGGTTGTGTATGATATGATATGAGTAATAATCATGTAGCTAAATGGGTAAAACCCAACTAACTATTAATGACCCAACCAGACCCACTCGAATCTGTCCACCTGCCACCCCTAGCTCATATAGATTCAACACAATGAATGGTTATTTTTAAAAGCACCTAAGTTCCTTTTCTATTGTTAGCTTATATTTATAAGATAAGAACTAAAAAGTTCAAAGAATTCAGAGCCTGCATACAGAGTAAATACCTTAAAGAGGCTCTGAAACCCAACAGTGTAACCTTACATATGATTAGCATTAAAATAGAAATAACAGTTGCAAAAAGTTGAAAACTATTAAACAAAATCATTGAACATCAATTTAAAATACAGAAAGAAAATTATTAAAAAAAAAAAGAAGAAAAAAGGAGTGGTTTTCAAGAATAAATAATTAGATCGGATCTTCCACATAGTTATCAATTCAACATCAGATCACATGATCCAGATTGCAAACACTAGTATTCATGATACTTTTGACATAAATCACATTTTTAACAGGCTACCACAAATTTAGATCAAATACAGATGAAATACTATACTGACAAGCAACTAAAACTAAATCTAACTTTGCTGCATATTCCATGAAACTAAAATCCCAATTTCAGTCTAAGAAAAGACACTTAAAATAGCATATCGATATCAATTGCCAGAGACCCATAGCTTATTGCAAACCCATAGCCTGGCTGTAAATGGATGATTGCTTTTTTAATTTTCAAAATATGTTCCTTTCTTTAATTATAATTTCTAAACCTGATGATTGCCACTGTGATAAAAGTGGGTTACAGGGTTATTTTAATAATATAATATGAAATTATTTATTTTCCCTTTTTATATAATTTAACCAAACAAAATATGACATAAATCATTTGTTCTCTCAATAAAAAAACGCACAATATTTTCTCCTCTTTTTTATTTTTAATCTTTTCTTTTATAATCCTAACTTAATCATTTATTTTCTTTTCTCTCTCTCTCTCTCTCTCTCTTAGGTTGCCACTGAAAACCACAACCCTAATCGCATGCCCAATAACCTTAATAAAGCAACACACACTACACTACTGTTGAGGAATTAGCAAAAGCCAGAAATAAGGGAAACCCTAGAAATCAAGTAAAGTAGATAAGACTCACAACGCGATCAGGAGAACCAACTGGGCCATCAAGGACGCGAATGCGGGCGCGAGTCTCCTCGCACATTTTCTTGATGAGCTCGCCCTTGCGACCGATGATGCTGCCGACTTTGAGCACCGGAACAATAAGCCGAAACACACAGTCCCCTGGCCATCCCGGCCACTTCTTCTCCGCCGCCGGAGCATCTGCACCCGCCTCCGTGTTCACGGTGGCGGTGGTAGTATCAGATGTCTCTGTTTGTGGGTCAGATCCCAGCGCGTAGGCTGACCCGTTCTCGGCGTGTTCCGTAGTCACAGCAGCTGCAGAAGCCATTAGAGAGAGAGAGAGAGAGAGAGAGAGAGAGAACAGGTTAGGGTTTTATGGTAACAAGCAGCAGCAAGAGACTGAGCGAGAGGCGGGAGGAGAGAGAGGGTTTTATGGATGGGGTGGGAACTAGAGTGACGCAGTCGTGGCGAATGACGGTGAAATATATATAGAAATATAGAGGGCTCGCTCAAGCGAATTCCTTTTTTGGCGCACAATTGTACTATTTCTAATACAGGCCTCTTTTAGGAACAAGGTAATTTAGTAATTTAGTAAATTTTTTTTTTTTTTTGATTATTTGATTAAAATATGAGTTAAAAAAAATTATGTTTGAGATAATTTTTTAATTTTTTATGAAAAAATGGGTATAAAATAGAGAAAAAAGAGAATTTTAACTTTTTAGTATGAATTGTTGATTTTTTGACTTTTTTTAATAACTTTTTGACTAAGTGGATTAGTTCCCAAACGAGGCCACTAGATACCAATAATTTAGTGGCTCTAAACCCACAACTAATGAGGTGGCAAGGCCAAAAAAAAAAAAAGACACAACACAGCATACACTGTAGCAGTGGGTTCCACCCACTGCCACATCATTAGTGTAGCTCTAATTAGAGCTTCCCCACTCATTTTCTTTTTCTTTTTTTTTTGTTCACTTTATTAGTGGTGGATTAGAGTTGTCAAATTAGTGGTCTCTATCATGATTGTTCTAATAATAATTATGTTTAGTTTAATTTCTTAAAAATGATTTTTAATTTTTTTTTTAACCAGTTCTCATTTGTTTTAGTGAACGTTTTTCATAATTTTTTAGTCTTTTTTTAAAAATTTCAAATTTAAATACAGCTAGTATTTAGAAAATAACTAAAATATGAAAAATATTTAAAAAAATTGAATAAAAATTACGTGTTATTAGTCCATTTTTAATAAACTTATAAATATAAACCCTTTTCAAAATAATTTTGAAAAAATCAAATCAAACAGAATGAATATTTGAAATTACAAATTAAAAAATTAAATTTGAATCAAATTACAAATTAAACATGTCATTTTATATTTAGAGTTGGTTTTTTAATAACTTTTTTGTTAATTATTTTCTGTTTTAAAATAAAAAATTTTGAAAAAATAACACTAAACAAAAATAATAAATTTTGAAAATTTTCATTTTACCTCCCTCAATTATTGTCTCCTGTTATTTTAATCATTGAATTAAAAATTGTGACATTTAACTCTCCATCTATTAATTTTTTCAATTTTTTTGTTCACACTACAAAAAGAGAGCTCAATTATACCCTTTCATTTTTATTTTTTTATTACAACCTCTTTGTAAAATTACCAATTGATTCCTAAAGCCTAAAAAGTAAACATATAATTTCTCATCCCACCTATCACCCTTTTCCCTCTCTCTCTCTCTCTCCCTTCTCTATTCTTGTTCCACCTTCGATGATCCTCATCCACCATTTGCCCACCACAGACAGCCTCCCCACCGTTCACCCACCTCCGGCAACCCTCCATCCATCATTTTTCCACCTTTGATAGCCCTCTCTTAACCTCTCAATACCCTCCCCCTTACCTCTGATAATCCCTCTACCCCTTCATATTTTTTTTATCGTTTTCATTGATATAGTTTTTATGAACCGTTCAGCTATAGTTTTCCGAACACATGACTTTTGTTTAGTTGTAGGATGCCGAACAGGCAAGTTGTGTCCGATTGTAGGATGTCAAACATAATGGGTCTGTACGTTTGGCAATGGATGTAAGGATGTTTGAATTTTCTTCGGTAATGATTGTTTGTATGATTTGATTTTGTTTCGCAATGGGGCTCTGGGCTGTTTGGTTTTGTTCGATTCTAGTGCATTGAGCAAAACTTGAACAACCATCTTCAGATTAGATTCGAAAATGTTTAAAAAAAAACTTGTTTCATTTTTCTACTGGTCATTCATCACTATTTCTTCATCCATTATGTTCTTTTTATGATCAAAATGCTACGATTCACACTTTTTTAAGATGTTTAATAGAGAATATGAAATGTGAAAGGAAGACGAGGAATAGGGTTGAGAAGGTAGTGGTCAGGGATGTGGGGTAACTTCGAGAGTAGTTGAAATTTGCAAGGTGGTGTTTGGAGGTGGAATAGGTCAGGTTTGAAGGTTGAGTGTAAAGAAAAGATAGAGATTATAGATGATGGTAGAAGTGGAATTATAGTGTGTCAAGAGATAAAATAATTTTTGAATAAAATGTAAATACAAAAACAGTATAATGAGGCAAAAATGGCGGTGTAAACAAAATTGGCCATAAAAACATCTTTTAGGTATATGATAAATACGCTTTTACCCTCTTGAACCATCATTCAAACTTTACCCTCTTCAATTAAAAAATTACACTTTGTCACTTTTAACCATCAATTAATATCAATATAAATTTTTATTAACAATCTATTATATAAATACAAGAAAAATTAACATGTAACTTACCATAACTTTACAAATACTATAGAATATCTAAAATGATATAAAGCAACAATAAGGGCAACTAGAGAGAAAAAGAATGGGAAATATATTTATTTCAAGCAATTCACAAAATTTAAGATATCATGTGCAAATCATATGTCAAATTTTCATCCATTTATATAACATATTCTTGATGAATAGTTTATATTGATACAAACTGATTGTTCAAAATGACAAAGTATAGCATTTTTTAAATGAGAAGGATAGAGAGATTGTAACATCCCACAAAATCTTCTTTTTAATCCACATATCTCCGGGTTTGGACAATTTGAACTTTAATCCATGAGTGGATTAATTAAATGACCTCAAAAAAAGTTTTTTGTTTTTAACTTTTTCCAAATAGAGCTTGAGTACCAAATTTTCTACTAAGTCTTCTACCTAACTTGATCATTCTAAGTAGAGCTTAGGATTTTGAATATACAAGACTTGCAACATGGGTTTTTGTACTAATTTTGAAAATTAATTAAATGAGATGATTATAACGCATTGTGACTACAAAGCTCAATGAAGCCTTCAAGAGGAATCGCCTAATTAGCAATCGGCCATAACATATCTTCAATTAGCATGAATTGTCTATGTGAATGTACAATCATAGGCATGACTTGTCCTTTCTAGGTATAGATTATCTCAATTCTTAATTGAGAAACACTATGGTACACACCCCTTCATATGTACCTTGTTACATATTTTTGTGGTGTATGTTAACGTATTTTTGTGATAAATGTTATATATTTTTCTGGTAGGAATTACGATAATTTGTGCTTGAGAAATAAAATTACACATTTTTGTGATAATGTTATGTATTTTGTATTGTTACACATTTTGTGGTTAGAAAATGTTTGGATAAAAAAAATATGTAACATTACCATAAAAATATATAACACTACCATAAAATACGTAACTTCATTTCTCTATCAAAAATTGTCGTAACTCCTACCAGAAAAATATGTAACATTTACCATGAAAATGCATAACATCACAAAAATATATAACAAGGTGCATAGGATTTCCCTTCTTAATTACATGTCCAAATATTACTATTATATATGTTATATTTGAGATCATAAAAATTAAACACAACTATTGAATGAAGCATATTGAAAACCAATTTGAGGGTAAATTATAATTTGCACTCTTACACTTTGTACTAAATCTCATTTTGGTCTCTACATATGAAATTGTTATAGTTAATCCTTGCACTTTTGGACAAGTGTCAATGTCCCTCTTCTATTACTCTATTATTTAAATTTTTAACAAAATCCAATCATGTGACAAGCATATGACTATAAGATAAAGACAAATGAAAAAAATCACCCCCATTTCCCATTTCCCACATATACATATTTCATTTCAAAATTTACATCAAATTATGACTATATTCGGCTAAAAACAAAACTTAGATTGTAAATGATTAAGGAGATGAACTAGGGTTTTGTAGAAATTGGAATCACGAAACTCTATTTGCCACAGTAACGCAGTATTCCGTCTATTCTTCTTCATTTCTCTACTACATTTTTTATTTCAAAAGCTCTATTTTCTTACATCTTCGTCTCTATTTTAAGCATATGAACATATATATATTGTATTATATAACTCTCAAATGTTTGTTACATGACTGAATTCTGTTAAAGACTTAAACAATAGAGTAATAGAAGAGGGACATTGACACCTAACCCAAAGTATAAGGGGTTGACTGTCATGATTTTATATGTAGGGACTAAAATGGGATTTGCTGTAAAGTGCAGGGGTGCAAAGTGTAATTACAATTTAATAAAATAAATCTCAAAGTCATACAATTGTCATAATGAAATAATCAATAAAAAACACATATACAAAACACTCAACATTAGTTAATTAGGGTTTCATTTAAACTTTAAAGAAGAATATTAGTTACCCATAGTTGATGTGGAATTTGCATCGTTAAATAGAATTTCATGAATTTGTTTTGGAAACCCTCTTCTTTGGCTCTTTCACCCTTTTCAAAGTGTTTGGACCATTCAATCGTCTCTCTTTGTTTTCCACATTCTCCCATTCTCCCATATTTTTATATCCAAGCCCTAAACCCAAAATTAAAAGAAAATCCTAGATAGAAAATACTTCTTAATTTTAGAATTGGATAACGGGGTCAAATTTTACCTAATAAACATCCAAAATAGAAAAATCAAATTTCACACAAAATTGTATCTATTCAAGTTAGATTTTGAATGCCAAAGAATCACCTCAATTCAATATCAAACAAGAGAGATATATCTAAAATACTGAAACCTATATAGAGTGACTACTATTGCAAGATTGCATTTAATTCAACATACATCTTCTAGGCCTTTAGGGTTAGGTTGGAGCTTGACTCTCATACTTCGAATACTCCAAAATCAAGTACAATTTCTTCTCACCAACTTGAGTGATTTGCATATACACAAAAATTATTAAAACAATCAAGTGACAATGATTTAAGAGTTTAACAATTGTACTTTATGGGACCTTTATGTCATTTCATTCACAAGTAAAGCATACCCAAACATAACGGATTGTTGGTGGTGGTTGACTCCTATAACAAAAACAAACGGCATGCTATAATGATTAGTTAAATATGAATCATCAAAGGTGACAACAACACTAAAGTATTGGCATGCGAATCTCGATCTCCCATTTGCCAAAAACAATTTCCCATGAG